ATTATTTCAGTAAAGTTGCAGGATACAAAATATACAGTAATCCATCACATTTCTATACACTAATATCAAAATATCAGAAAGTGAAATTAACAATCACATCTATAATTACATCAAAAATAAAACACCTAAAAATAAATGTATAGCCAAAGAGATTGAGTGGCCTATGCTCTGAAAACTAAGATACAGATGAAAAAATATAAAGATGACACAAATAAATGAAAAGATATACTACTGAAATGTTCTTATCACCCAAAGCAATCTACAGATTCAATGCAATCCCTACAAAAATACCAATAACACTTTCCACTGAACTAGAACAAATAATGCTAAAATGTATACAGAAACACAAAAGTCCCAAATAACCAAAGCCATCTTGAGAAAGAACAAACCTGGAGGTACTATGCTCCCAGATTTCAAACTATATTACAAAAGCTATATAATCAAAACAGTATGGCATGGCACAAAAACAGACATATACATCAATGGAACGGGAAAGAGATCACAAAAATAAATGCACATATAATCAATCCATGACAAAGGAGAGAAGAATATATAATGGGGAAAAGACAGTCTCTTTAATAAATGATGTTAGTAAAACTGGTCTACCACTACATGCAAAAGAAGGAAATTGGACCACTTTCTTACATCATACACAAAAATAAATTCAATAAATTAAAGACCTAAATGTGAGACCTGAAACCATAAAACTCCTGAAAGAAAACATAAGCAGTAAGCTCTCTGACACTGGTCTTAGTGATTTATTTTTTGATCTGTCTCTTCAAGAACAAAGGCAAAAATAAATGGGACTGTATCAAAATATAAAGCTTTTGCACAGTGAAGAACATCAACAAAATGAAAACGCAACCTACTATAAGGGACAAGATATTCACAAATGAAGTATCCAATAAAGGGTTATCATCCAAATTAGAATATAAAGCACTCATAAAAGTCATTATGAGAAAAACAATCAGATTTTTAAAATGGGCACAGGACATTGTGTCTGGGTAGACATTTTTCCAAATGTATACAGATGGCCAACAGGTACATGAAAGGATGTTCAACATCACTAATCATTAGGGAAATACAAAGCAAAACCACAATGAAGGGGCAACTGGGTGGCTCAGTCAGTTTATTAAGGGTTTGACTGGCTCAGGTCATGATCTCGCGGTTTGTAGGTAGAGCAGTTAACTTCACCTGGGCCTGGAGCCTGCTTCTGATTCTGTGTCTCTGTCTCACCCTGTCCCTCTACACTCACTCTCCGTCTCTCTCTCAAAACAAACATTAAAAAAAAAATTTTTTTTTAAAACCACAACGAAATATCTCACACCTGCCAGAATGGCTGCTATGAAAAGTCAAGAAATAACAAATACTGGCGAGATGTGGAGAAAAAGGAACCCTTGTGCATTGTTGGTGGGAATATAAGTTGGTGCAGCCACTACGGAAGCAAGTATGGTGAGACCTCAAAAATTTAAAAATACAACAGTCCTACAATCCAGTTATTCCACTACTAGGTATTTACCCAAAGAAAATAAAAACACTAATTCGAAAAGATATACACACTTCTATGTTCACTGCAACATTATTTACAATAGCCAAGATACAGAAACAACCTGTGTCTATGGATATATGAACGGAATACAGAATGGAATTCTGGGTGCCTGGTTGGGTCAGTAGGCTCAGGTCATGATCCAACAGTTCTTGGTTTTGAGCCCTGTTGTTGGGCTCTGTGCTGACAGTTCAGAACCTGGATGGAGCCTGCTTCGGATTCTGTGTCTCCCTCTCTCTCCGACCTTCCCCTACTCATACGGTCTCTCTCTCAAAAATAAACATTAAAAAAAAAAGGTGTGGTATATATAAACAGTAGAAAAAAGAATGAGACCTTACCATCTGTGACAACATGGACTGACCTAAAGATCTTACACTAAGTAAAATAAGTCAGAGAAAGACAAATACCTTACTATTTTACTTGTGTGTGAAATCTAAAAAACAAACAAAAGAGAAAGAAACTCATCAATACTGAGAACTGGTGGCTGCCACAGGGGAGGGAGGTGGGTTGATGGATGAAACAGGTGAAAGGGATTAAGAGATACAACCTTCCTGGTATAAAACAAGTCACGGAGATGAAAAGGACAGTAGAGGGAATACAGCCAATAATATTGTTAAGAACACTGTATGGTGAATGATTGGAACTATACTTATGGTCAGCACTGAATAATGTACAGAATTGTCAAATCACAATGTTGTGCACATGAAATTAGTGTAACATTGTATTATCAACTAAACTTAAAAATGACAGAATGAATGAATGGCAGTTGAGGAACAGAGAGGTTCAGGAACTTGCCCAAGGTCACACAGCCAAAAGGCAAAGCTAAAGTGTGGACCAACCAGGACAGTACAGCCCCACTGAGATGGTTTTAAAACATGTCTGTAACTTTTTGAACAGTAATATCAAGAGATGGAGTCTGACTCCCCTCCCCTCGAACCTGGGTGGGCCTCTGTGGTCAATTTAAGAAACAAGGCAGGCAGAGGGACGAGCTATGGAACCGCTATCTGCTTCTCTTCAACCACCATGCAGATTAGAGAGACGGAGAGAGGATGAGGATGAAGAGGAGATGCCTCGCGGCCTGAGGAGCCCCAGCACCAGACATGAGAAGACACCTCTGAGATGATACCACCAGCTACCACCATCTGACTGCATTAGAGCAAGCCCCTGACCCCTGAGAACTGCCCAGCTGAGCCTGAGCCCAATCAACCAGATTTTTGAGGCAGGGGGGGCCTTTATGTAACATGAAAACCTTAATGATCTCCTTACACTTATGAATATTAAGTCATCACCATGTTGTACAGCTAGTAAACTTATCTGTGAGTGTGTAAAGCTAGTAACTGTGCTGCAATAGCATGGGAGATGTTTCTGTGCCACCACCATTGATGGTGTGGCACACCTAAGTACTCACCGTATAACACGTGGTGTGCAAGCCTGCATGCAGTCTACCTTCATGTGGGCATCATGATTAAGTTTTCTTACCGTTTTTATAACTTTGCTTTCAAAGAATTACACTACCATACGGTATGCCTCTCTCTCATAATTGGGAGAAACTGCATATTAGCCTATCATCACAGGTAAGTGGGTTTTTAAAAATGTTAACAATGTTTCTAATACAGTATATGAATATGACTATCATACTGTAGACCATAAACCTTTTATAAGGATCCAGACAGTGGTGTTTAGGTTAGGCTACTGTGAAGCAATCGTATGGATTACACCAGGCTACCATAAAGCAATCATACTGCTGCGGCTTCACTTATCAGTGCATGGGCTGTTATACCTGCACATAAACTCACTTTCATTTTTTATATCTACTGTTAGTAATACGTAGATATCTACAGTGTTTTGTGTTCTGTAAGACTGCTGATATAGGTGGTAACAGACACTTCATCCCATAAACAGACAACATAAACTTATCGACAAATACAAGATAGTACTTTCTTTTCTCTTCCTTGTGATTTTCTTAATATTTTTTTCCTAGCTTACATTTATGTAAGAATACAGTATATAATCACCTAAGATACAAAATATGTGTAATCAACTGTTTATGTTATCATCAAGGCTTCTGCCCAACAGCAGGCTATTGTGTTAAGTTTGGGAGAGAGGTTATAAAAATTATAGGCAGATTTTCAAATGTGCAGGAAGCTTGCATCCCTAAGCCCCAAGTTATTCAACAGTTGACTATTCAACATTTTCTATGCTGAATGTGTTTTTTGTCAATAAGTATTTGTGGAAACTTTCTGTTAACAATTTTCCACTTGTAAAAGTAGCATTCACTATAGAGTATGTGAAACAAACTTTAAGATTTTGTTTAAAACATTGTCTGGCATTATATGAACCATATTGTGTACTTTTAAAAATTTTTTATGTTTTCATTTATTTTTGAAAGTGGGAAGAGAGAGCAGGGAAGGAGTAGGGGAGGGGGATTCAAAGCAGGCTCTGTGTTGACAGCAGAAAGACCAATGTGGGGGCTCGAACTCACAAACCATGAGATCATGACCTGAGCCAAAGTCAGATGCTTAACTGACTAAGCCACCCAGGCACCCCCACACTGGGTACTTTAAAATTTTTTTAATGAGGAAAACACTGGTCTAAAAAAGACAATGTGATTTAATAGAATTCTATCTGATACGATTTTTAAAAATTAAATGGCATTTGTATTCAGCTTAAAACTAGAAAACTTTCTTCTTTCAGCATTTATACTATGACTAGCTAAAATCCCTTTTTATTTAGGGGCTCAGAAAGTTCAGTGAATGTTTGTAATATGTGGCTAACATGAGGAGTTCTATACAGTCAAAAGGAAGTACAAAAAATAAAACACAACTTTCAGACTCTCTTGGTTCAGTTTGAGGAAGTGTTATTTTCTCCCTGCCACTGACATCCCCTCACAGAAAAGACCTCCTTAATTCAACTAGACAAACATTTACAGAGTATCTCCTATGTACCCTGCCACTTCCATAATGAGAAAATCATCTTTGGATGAAGGTACTCTCAATACCTAGGAAGGCCCTCCCCAAACAAAGAACATTTAAAGCCACTAGTGCAACAAATGTAAAGGTACCAGAACTGCCTAGGAATTCAGGAAAAGACAAATTCAGATTTAAATTATTTCTGGCAACAAAGAGAAGTCCAACGGGTGTCCCCTTGGCCAGGCCTGCTTACCTTCTGTGAGCTAATGCTCAAATGGGTTAATGATCAGGAAAGGCCCTAGAAGTTTCTAAGGAAAACATCTGGTGATCTGAGACCTAGACATAACTAACAGAAAACAGAAGTTTCTGCAGGCCATGTCTGGGACACTGACAGTAGTTTTAATTTCTGAAGTACTCTTCTCTTTTCCATTTAATATATTTTTGACTACAGTGTTTTGAGAAGGGCACGATACTTTATTTTACACACAATTCAAGTCTCCACAAGAAAATCTTTCTAACTTTTATGCAAATATTAATTGTCTCACCTGCTCAGACTGTGTAAGCTTCATGGCTTCAGAAAGATACGCTGGTTCAAGAAAAAAAACAAGGTACATTAGTGAGTGTCATAATTTTGCAATCAATAGGTCAGAGTTTTAATACTCCTATGACAAAAAAGAACTGGTTTTAGAAGTAATTCCAAGCAATTCTGTTACATAATTATCCAGTTCCTGAAAAGAAAACAAGGTGGAGATTTTAAGAAGACAGGATTTTTTTTTAAAGTTTTATTTATTTTGAGAGAGACAGAGACAGTGCAAGTGGGGAAACGGCAGAGAGAGAGAATCCTGAGCAGGATCCTCACTGCCAGGGGAGAGCCTGACATGGGGCTTGAACCCACAAAGCTGCAGGAATTAAATCTGAGCCAAAACCAAAAGCTGACTGCTTAACTGACTGAGCCACCCAAGTGTCCCCAAGATGACAGGATCCTTAACTTGAAAAGTCAGTGGTAATCAACTGTAGATATTCTCTACCCCATCTTGAAGGAGTCTGCTCTTCAAAATCCTTGTAGATTTCACAATTAAAGATGGACTAATCAGAAAAATAGGCTTAGGGAGATTAAAACAAGAACCTATCAAAACCTTACTATTCATTACGATCACAAAAATATCGAGAGATTAATTACAGGTGTCTTTTTAACCACATGAATACTTGGAGTATATCATTTTGACTCTTTCAATAAAACTACTTTTATTGAATTATTTCTGAGCTGCTGAGCTACATTATTCTACTATGCATGAATCAGGTAGTTAAAAGCTGTAAGAACTCGGTGATATATTTAAGTTGTTGAGGACAGTGTAATGTCTTTTATTAAGACCCTAAATAGTCAATAACTCAATAAGCTTCAAGTTCTCTGTGAGCGTAGGGTCATCAGTTCCTGGGTGACTTAATTTACTTGAATTTAAATAGTCACTATAAAAATCTATAATTTTCCTAACTGCTAGAAAGCTTAAAGCCAAATTCTCCTTCTATGAAATAAGCAAGAACTTACAGTGCACTTTGTAAACTATATTTCCAGGCACTCCTCATTTTACCTAAGGTTTCCTCATCTGCTTTTTTTAAATTACATTTTGTATTTTGTTGTATTCCTTTGTAAGGCCTTTTATATGCTGCCTGGAACAAAAAAGTATAAACAAGTATCATAATAGATCATGCACAATTTCCATTTCTTATTTCTTGCCTATTATCAACTTTTCCATATCTCTCATCCCTACATTAAATTCCTTTATGTCTTTTAGCAGATACTACAAGGCAATGTTTCTGTCGTCTTAAGCCAAATATTTTAATGATTTTGAGTTCATGACTTAGAACTGTTGCCTGCCAGGTTCTACTACAATCTTCAAGATACGGATTAACTGGATGTTTCTTCCCCAACAGAAAATAGAGGTGGCTCTATAGCCTTTGTCTAGCCATACTTAAATTTTTTCCTCAACTTTTTTGTCCTTTATTCCTACAGTAGGTCTGTATAACTGCATACAGATTTCTTTTTCCTTTTCTTCATCTTTAAGGCTGTTGAGACATTCTATCTATTGCACTGATACAGTGTGGATGGACTTCCCTTAAAAATCTCTCCTATTATGTCCATATACCTTTGTCTCCCCACCTGAACTACAGTTTGCTTTTTACACAAATGGAACAGTTTCATAAAACCAGGCTTAAACCAACTGGACTGCCTTTGTAGAACCTTGAAACTATAACATGACAGTAGAGAAAACCCAAGGACATAAGTGTCCAAAGCCAAAACAATCAACAACAGTCACACTGTCACTTAAAGTATTTCCCACATTTCAATTTACAATTTGGGTCTTAAAGGGGCATCTGGCTGGCTCAGTTGGTAGAGTGTGACTCTTGATCTTGGGGTTGTGAGTTCAAGCCTCACACTGGGTGCAGAGATTACTAAATAAATAAAATTTGGGTCTTAATAAAAGGAAAAAAATTTAATCTGATTGCATAGTCATGAATTTGTTCCAGAGTCACAACTGAAAAATCACACACACAGCACAATATTGCCCATGAATGACAAAGACTGATCGGCTCAGAATCATTTTCCTGCTACCACAGCTTCATGGGAAGGTCCAGATCAAGACAGGTATTCAACCAACTATATGCAGACACTGTGAATTTTGAGGTCTGCTCTTCTTCTGAAGTGCTGGACTTCTAAGCATTGTAAATGGCTATTATCAACTCTGCATTTAAGCTTTTGTTCTTTTTGCTGTCTGTCAAAGAAAACCATTTAGGCAAGTGGACTGTATAAGACTATGAGCAGGAATTCAATCCAGCTATAGCTGCTAATCAAGGTTTCTAAGCAACAGATTTTTCTGACAATCCTGGAGCCCTGGGAATTTGTGGTTTCTTACACTTTCTTGAGGTCGTGAGTCAAGCCCCATATCAGGTGGAGAGCTTACTTAAAAAAAAAAAATCCATCGGAAGACCACAAAGTATAGATGCTAATGCAGTTTAGCCATGTAATCTCAGGATAAATGTTTACGTCTCAGATTCTCCTCTGATCTTTGATAGGTGGATAAAAGGCACCTCCTTTGCCCTTAAGTTCTCTATTTCAGGCTTTCCTTTTCATCAGTCATTCTCAGATGATGACCTTCCCTGTCATATTTCTTTTTTTTTTTTTTAATGTTTTATTTATTTCTAGGAGAGAGAGAGAGAGAGAGACAGCGTGATCAGGGGAGGGTCAGAAAGAGAGGGAGACACAGAATCTGAAACAGGATCCAGGCTCTGAGCTAGCTGTCAGCACAGAGCCTGACATGGGGCTCGAACACACAAACCATGAGATCATGACCTGAGCTGAAGTCGGGACGCTTAACTGAGTCATCCAGGTGCCCCCCCCCATATTTCTTTTTTTTTAAGACAATTTTTTTAAACGTTTATTTTTGAGAGAGAGAGAGAGAGAGCGTGTGCACGCAGGGGAGGGGCAGAGAGGGAAGGAGACACAAAATTGGAAGCAGGCTCTAGAGTCTGAGCTGTCAGCAGAGCCTGAAGTGGGGCTCAAACCCATGAACCGTGAGATCATGACCTGTGCTGGAGTTGGACGCTTAAGCAACTGAGCCACTCAGGCGCCCCTCCCCTATATTTCTAAAATAATTCCCCTCAGAATATATTTACATCCATACCTCCCAAAACACCTCTGCTATAAACCCTAGATGTGAGTCCATTTAGAAAATACTAAGCTTATTCCAACCATGTCAATTTTCAAACTAGCATTACATTCACAACTCCACTCTAAGAAACACACAAGGCTATTTTTAACCAAGTCTAAACTCCAAATCAAATCAGCTCAGTGGGATTAACTGACCACACTTGAGTTCTATGTCCCTAATTAAAACTAATGGGATCCAAAAGGATACCTTTATCTTTTCTTCTGAGAATGTCACAGATTGTGGATACTGAGAAAGTGGGGAAAGGCGTGTAAAACCCAACATCAGTTTTTACTTCTTAAAGACAGGGAAGTAGATTAGGAATGAAAGAAACATTTCTCCTTTTTATATACTCAAAATCCCCTGCCACTCAATGCACAACATATGCTGATCACTACACTGCAATGTATTTTATATACAGGTAACCATGAAGACTCTGGGTTATTTAACCCGAAGTATTATTTCACTGTGGCATTCATCCCCAACACTTGGTTTTTGTTTTTTAATAGTGTAATACACTGTCTTGTCTTTTTTTTTTTTTTTTTAAGTTTATTTTGAGAGAGACAGTGCATGTGATCGGAGGAGGGGCAGAGAGAGAAAGACAAAGAAAGAGAGAAGGAATATCCCAAGCAGGCTCAGCAGCATAGAGCCTGATGTGGAGCTTGAAATGACCTGAGTAGAAATCAAGTGTCAGACACTTAACTGAGTCACTCAGGCAACCCAGTACATTGACTTTTCTGTATAGTGACTATAACAATTTCATTCAAAACAAAATATGGCTTATGAAAGATTTAAAGAGCACTAGCTGCCAAGTTTAATGTTGTATAAAGCTGCCTGTAAAACTCCCCATAAAAATTCACAAAGACTTACAGAGTATGTATTATGAACTCAGCCCTTCAGCTGAAGGAGTACACTTCAGTGGCAAAACTCATTCTTTAAGGGGTGCCCAGGTGGCTCAGTTGGTTAAGCGTCCGACTTCAGCTCAGGTCATGATCTCACGGTTCGTGGGTTCGAGGCCCACGTCAGGCTCTGTGCTGACAGCTAGCTCAGAGCCCGGAGCCTGCTTTGGATTCTGTGTCTCCCTCTCTCTCTGACCCTCCCCTGCTCACGCTGCCTCTCTCTCAGAAATAAATAAATCATTAAAAAAAAAAAAAAAAAAAAAACCACCACCAAACTTCATTCTTTAAAAATAAGACTTGAGGGGTGCCTGGGTAGCTTAGTCAGTTAAGCATCTGACTTTGGCTCAGGTCATGATTTCTCACAGTTGGTGAGTTCAAGCCCCTCGTAAGACTCTGTGTTTCCCTCTCTCTCTCTGCCCCTCCCTGCTTGCTCTCTCCCTCTCAAAAATAAACATCAAAAAAAAATTTTTTTTAATAAGACTTGAATTTTTTCCTAAAAATCACGGACATGTGAGCAAAAATCACTGACATAAAAGGACTTATTCAAACCAGTATCCAGTGTGTGTTATTTCAGCAGTAAGGCAACATTGAAGGCATAGACCCTGCCAAGAAAGAACTTGGCTTTAATCACTGCAGTGGCCTAGAAGGAAAAGAAAGTGTCTTCCTCTAGCAGAAAGACTATAGGATTTGTTCTAAGAAAGGTGGCCTATTTTGAATGCAGCATAAGTAAAACACTCCCTCCCCAAAGCTTTTAGGTTAATTAGCCAACTGAAACCAGTTTGTACAAAGTAGACCCCAGAAATCGGTTTCTGAGCTCAACATATGCTAGACTGTGGGACTGACTGGGATAAATTTAGGTGTCTGTTAAGAAATCATGAATTCTAGGGGCGCCTGGGTGGCTTAGTCGGTTAAGCGTCCAGCTTTCGGTTGGGTCATGATCTCGCGGTTCGTGGGTTCGAGCCCCGCGTCGGGCTCTGTGCTGGCTGCCAGCTCAGAGCCTAGAGCCTGTTTTGGTGTCTGTGACCCCCTCTCTCTCTGACCCTCCCCTGCTCACGCTGTCTCTCTCTCTCTCCTAGAAATAAATAAAAATATAAAAAAAAAACAAACTTTAAAAAAGAAATCATTAATTCTAAATTTTGTACCTCAAAGAAAGCTATCATCACCATGACACCATGGGCACAAATGCACAGATTAAATATTCAAAAGGAAACTAAGAAAGACCACAGGAAAGATTATTATCAACATCTTAGAAATTCAGTGGAAATTAAATGGTTAGAATTAAGTTAGTTATTACTTTCATAACCCAAAATGGCTGGCTAATTGAAATCCATTCTCCATAAACTAAGATGTACTGGCAGATTTCTTTCAATCACTTCTATCTTTAGGATTCTCCAGGTTACAAAAAGTTGTATCCAGGAGTGACTTACCAGTATTGCATATGCAAACTTCATGGTTTAAAAAGACCAGGTTAGGAGAAACTGGGAAATGCAACATACTCACTTGACAAATAGTCCAAACTGACCTTCTGGTGGGTCAATACTGTCAACCTTGTATTTGTAGGCCAACAACATCATTACTATTGTGACTTTCATTCTAAATAAACTGTTGAGAGATACTGGAGAAAAGAAATTGCCCTCCAGTTTTAGACTTGGCATTTCTTTAAAAGAATACTTACCTGATGCCTTTTTGTGACAAGAAATAGCCTCTTCGTATTTCCCTGCAGCTAATAAACGATCTGCTCGTCTGCTCTGTTGATGAGCCTAGAAGACAAACATTCCTAAATTCCTCTCAATTGTGTAAAAAGACAACGACTTAAAATTTTTTGACAAGATAAATAACGTCTTTTTTTTTTTGCCGCACAACAAACCATTACAGCTGTATCTGAGAAATATAACAGGTAGTAGCTGTAAGGACTGGCAACTTTTCTCAACTCTTATCAACAAACCATCAAGTTTAACACCAAGGCATCAGACTCCTTCAATGAGCCACATTCTCCCATTCTTCAGAGATTAACCAAGAGCTACAATCACATTACTTAAACTGTACATTTACTTGATTTCTAACAACCTCTTTTCAAAACAAAAGTTACCTTGTAGATCCTTTCACTAGTTTGTATAGTTTAAAAACTACAATCAGGAAATTACTTATAAAACAGTAAAATTCAAGCTTCTATTAACTTATTCTTTCAACATTAAAGTTACTATTTCTTCCTAAGCTAAAAATCTGTACACTGTACAGCTGAAGGCTTAATTATACCAATATTTAATATTACAGTGATTTTTTTTCAGGTACCACTGACCAAAACAACAAACTCAGATATGAAAGCAAATGGCTAAAGTGATCCCAAATGTAAAGGTAAAGGGATTAATTGGCCTATTTACATGTGTGCTACACTTTAAGAATGACTACAGCTTGGGACACCTGGGTGGCCAGTCAGTTAGGCATCCAACTTTGGCTCAGGGAATGATCTCCTGGTTGGTGAGTTCGAGCCCCGCGTCAACTCTGTGCTGACAGCTCAGAGCCTGGAGGCTGCTTTGGATTCTATGTCTGTCTGTCTGTCTCTCTCTCTCTCTCTCTCTCTGCTCCTCCCCTATTCATGCTTACTCAAATGCTCTCTCTCTCTCAAAAACTAACATTAAAAAAATTTTTTAAAGAAAAATTACTACAACTTTATGAATGTGATTCCCTTTCTTACCTAAGGATGTGCAGCAGCCTCACAGGGGTTGGTTACATATCTGACCTAAGGTTTCACAGTTAGCAGGCAAGGAGACAGAAATGATCAACTCAATTCTTCTAACTAGTGTAGTTTTCCTCACTAACAAATTCACAGATGATTTAGAAAAGCTGCTTTAAAAAAGTGAAAAGCATCGTATACCCATGTTCATTGCAGCATTAATCACACATGCAATAAAAAGGTGGAAGCAACCCAAATGTCCATGTAATCCTTGAAAAAGAAGAAAATTCTGACACATGCTACAACATGGATGGACTCTTAAGACATGTTAATAAAATATCAAAGGGGCACCGAGGTGGCTCAATCAGTTAAGCGTCACTCTTGATTTAGGCTCAGGTCATGTCACAGTTTATCATTTCAAGCCCCATGCCGGGCTCATGCTAACATAGTAGTGCCATCTTGAGATTCTCTTTCTCCCTCTCTCTGCCCTTCCCCTCCTCACACTCTCCCACCCCCTGCAAAATAAATAAATTTTAAAAAATTAAAATAAAATATAAAATAAGCCAGTTACGAAAAGATAAATACTGTATGATCCCATTTATATGGATATCTAAAGTACTGAAACTCATACAAAAAAAGTGAAATGGTGGCTGGATGGACATGAGAAAAGTGATGTTAAAAGGTGGAGAGTTTAAGTTTTACAAGGAGAAAGGTTCTAGGGACCTGCTGCACAAATGAATATACTTGCTACTAAACTGTGTACTTACAAATGAGAAAGAGGGTAAATTTTATGCTATGTATATTACCTCAATTTTCAAATCTTTATTATTTTTTGTAATCTTAAATGTGGGGTTTGAACTCATAACCCGAGATGAAGAGCTGCATGCTCTTCTGACTGAACGAGCCAGGCGCCCTTTATCTCAATTTTTTAAGAAGGCAAAAGGCAAATCTGTTCTGTCAGGTGTAAAGTGATTTATCTTGAATGCTTTTCAAAAACTGTGCCACAGATGCCTCATAAAAATACTTCTGAGAATCACTTTTGCAACTGAGAGTAGAAATATTCTGGGCATGTTTGCAAATCACGCTCAATGTAAAACAGAGGTGAAGACAAAAGTAGAAAACAGCACTCTCAGCAATGCATGCTTGTTTACATTCTCCCTTCTATTTATGTAAGGAAGACACAAGCAACACAACTTAAAAGAAAGATCATCCATTTCAACTGTTTTTGAAGTTTTTTACTCTTCAAACAATAACTAAATAAGCTTTGTCCCTAAGTCTCAATTTATTCCTGAAAAAAATGATGGGTAAAAGAAATGGGTAGGGGCTTAAAATACTTTTATTTATTTTTTATTTATTTATTATTTATTTTTATTTATTTCTAGGAGAGAGAGACAGCGGGAGCAGGGGAGGGTCAGAGAGAGAGGAAGACACAGACTCCGAAATAGGCTCCAGGCTCTGAGCTGGCAGTCAGCACAGAGCCCGACGCGGGGCTCGAACCCACGAACCGCGAGATCATGACCTAAGCGAAAGTCAGACGCTTAACCGACTAAGCCACCCAGGTGCCCCTAAAATACTTTTAACTGACCAAAAAATACATCCTGAACACAGGAGTATTTTATAGTACCTAGAAATGACACAGATCTTTTGGGAAGAGAATATCCATGAAGAAAGTTAAGTTATGATCAACACGATTTTTCTACGTGTTCTGATAATATAGTTAAAGCAACTGGCAATCAACAAGGATCTAGGTAGTTAAAAAAAAAAAAAAGTACAAAGGGGTGAATTTGAATGTGCCTTAACCTTTCAGAGCTTTGAAATAAGCCCTACAAAAGAGACAAACCTCTAAAATTCCAAAGTATCTACTAATTATGGACGACAAAGTACAGATCCAGCCCTACCAGGAACCCAAGGCTATGGGCACAAGTCTTGGCTCTCCTACTAACCTGCTGAATTATTTCATCATTCAGGGTCTGTTTACAGGTGACGAAGCTGTAAGATGATAGACATGGACCGTATCGGTACTTCTCAAGTTTTAGTTGAATACAAATGACCCGGGGGTCCAGTTAAAATGCACACTCTGATTCAGCAGATCTAGATCAGGGGTCGAGATTCTACCCGCATGCAGCTAAGCTGCTGGCTCCAGGACACCTTTTGCAAAGCAGGGAAGAGATACTCTCTGAGGTTACCTCTTCTAACACTATGTCTATGATGACATTAACTACTATACCTACGAAGCTCCCTAAATAAACTTAAGTTCCATAAGAACAAATTGCTTATTGGGGTGCCTGGGTGGCTTAGTCGGTTAAGCGTCCGACTTTCGCTTAGGTCATGATCTCGCGGTTCGTGGGTTCGAGCCCCGCGTCGGGCTCTGTGCTGACTGCCAGCTCAGAGCCTGGAGCCTGTTTCAGCCTGTGACTCCCTCTCTCTCTGACCCTCCCCTGCTCCCGCTGTCTCTCTCTCTCTCCTAGAAATAAATAAAACATTAAAAAAAAAAATTAAAAAAAAAAAAAAAAGAACAAATTGCTTATTAAATACCAAAGAAATAAAAAGTTCTCAAGTGCTGAGAACAGGATCTCATACTCGTCCTGACATCCCTAAAACCTTCCCATGTAAAGTTCAATCTCTGATCACTCTGCCAATTCAGGAGTTATATCTCACTTAAAAATACATACTTACTAGGTTATCTGGCACCAGAGCAATCAAACTCCCTATTTAAAAAAAAAAAAAAAAAAATACAAGGGAGCTTGGGTGCTTCAGTTGGTTGAGCGTCTGACTTCAGCTCAGGTCATGATCTCAAAGTTTGTGAGTTCAAGCCTGTCAGGCTCTGTGCTGACTTAACAGCTCAGAGCCTGGAGCCTGCTTCAGATTCATTCTCTCTCTCTCTCTCTCTCTCTCTCTCTCTCTCTCTTCCTCTGTCAAAAATAAATGTTTTAAAAAAATTTTTTAAAATACGGGGGAGGGGTGTGTGTGTGTGTGTGCCTGGGTGGCTCAGTCAGTTATGCATCCGACTTCCGCTCTGGGCATGATCTCACGGTCCGTGGGTTTGAGATATCAGGCTCAGTGCTGACAGCTAGCTCAGAGCCTGGAGCCTGCTTCAGATTCTGTGTCTCCCTCTCTCTCTGACCTTCCCCTGATCACGTTGTGTCTCTCTCTCTCAGAAATAAATAAAAAAAATTAAAAAAAATATACAGGGGCACCTGGGTGGCTCAGTCAGTTGAACGTCTAGTTCTTGATTTCACCTCTTGTCATGATCTCACAATTCTGCACTGACAGCACAGATGAGCCTACTTGGGATTCCCTCTCCCTCTCTTTCTGCTCCTTTCTGCCCTCCAAATAAACAAACTTCAAAAAAATAAAAAATAACAAAAATACAGTTCCTACTAAGTTCTTGTTAGACACCCAGCAAGCAGAGTCTCTATACAGAGCTTGACTGCCTAGGTTCAAATCTCAGCTTGAACACTTATTAGACACATGAAATTGGCCTTCTTAACTTTCTTCCTGAGTTTTCCCATCTCTAAAATGAGAGTATAGTAAAAATTAGTTAAAAGACAATAAAGGACTAGGCTTAAATTTTATTTATCTTTTCTTAAATAAAGTATCAATACTGCCCAGGAAACTATTAGATGCAAAGGCAACATAACACTCTCAAGAGTTTCAACTCTTCAACTCTTACCTGTTTTCATCTCCCTAGCTGGTAAATAAATGAGCTCAATTTTTTTTGTTTGTTTTAACCCTCTGGATTTCTTATACAAATGTATAGTATTTCATAAAAATCAGTGTTCTTTAAACTAAAGAACAGAAACAGACTCATAAATACAGGGAAGAGGGTGGGTTGATAGGCAAAATAAAGGGGACTAAGAAATAAAAACTTCCACTTATAAAAGAAGTCAGAGATGAAAAGGGCAGCATAGGGAATAAAGTCCATAATACTGTAGTAACACTGTATGGTGACAGATGGTGACTAATTATGGTGAGCACAGAGAAATGCATAGAACTGTCAAATCACTATGTTGTACACCTGACACTATTAATATATAACACTATGTCAACTAAACTTCAAAAATTAAAAAAAAAAACAACGGTGTTTTCTTTTCTATCCTAAT